AAAATCACATAAATTGAGAAACCAAATAACAGAATTGTAAAAGTAATCAATTCAAATTTCAAATTTCAAAATGGCTCCACCTTAATAGAGATTTGCCTGCTAAAGCATTTACCTTAGAAAAAAGAAAATTTTCTTCAGGCAAAAGAGAGGTTAAAACTTAAAAGAGGAAAATTAATTAATTTATAGGTTCGATCGCCTTTGCATCTTATAATAGAGCATCCGTCTGCAAAGTTTTGAACTTTAAAAAAAGGTGCAATATTTAATTTACCATAAAAAAATGAAGTTGATGAAGAAAAATTAGGAAAAAAAAGATAGAGAGATTTTGAATTTTCTTACAAAGTTGACTTAGCAATATATTAGGCGATGATTTCTGCTTATGATTTCTTCTCTCTCTCTCTCTCTTTGGTGGCTACAAAAAAAATAACACAATCTTACAATTATACAAAAAAATAAAATCACATAAATTGAGAAACCAAATAACAGAATTGTAAAAGTAATCAATTCAAATTTCAAATTTCAAAATGGCTCCACCTTAATAGAGATTTGCCTGCTAAAGCATTTACCTTAGAAAAAAGAAAATTTTCTTCAGGCAAAAGAGAGGTTAAAACTTAAAAGAGGAAAATTAATTAATTCATAGGTTCGATCGCCTTTGCATCTTATAATAGAGCATCCGTCTGCAAAGTTTTGAATATTAAAAAAAAGGTGCAATATTTAATTTACCATAAAAAAATAAAGTTGATGAAGAAAAATTAGAAAAAAAAAGATAGAGAGATTTTGAATTTCCTTACATAGTTGAATTAGCGATATATTAGGCGATGATTTTTGCTTATGATTGCTCTTCTCTCTCTCTCTTTGGTGGCTACAAAAAAAATAACACAATCTTACAATTATACAAAAAACCAAAATCACATAAATTGAGAAACCAAATAACAGAATTGTAAAAGTAATCAATTCAAATTTCAAATTTCAAAATGGCTCCACCTTAATAGAGATTTGCCTGCTAAAGCATTTACCTTAGAAAAAAGAAAATTTTCTTCAGGCAAAAGAGAGGTTAAAACTTAAAAGAGGAAAATTAATTAATTCATAGGTTCGATCGCCTTTGCATCTTATAATAGAGCATCCGTGTGCAAAGTTTTGAACATTAAAAAAAGGTGCAATATTTAATTTACCATAAAAAATGAAGTTAATGAAGAAAAATTAGGAAAAAAAAAGATAGTGAGATTTTGAATTTCCTTACAAAGTTGAATTAGCGATATATTAGGCGATGATTTCTGCTTATGATTGCTTCTCTCTCTCTCTCTCTCTTTGGTGGCTACAAAAAAAATAACACAATCTTACAATTATACAAAAAACCAAAATCACATAAATTGAGAAACCAAATAACAGAATTGTAAAAGTAATCAATTCAAATTTCAAATTTCAAAATGGCTCCACCTTAATAGAGATTTGCCTGCTAAAGCATTTACCTTAGAAAAAAGAAAATTTTCTTCAGGCAAAAGAGAGGTTAAAACTTAAAAGAGGAAAATTAATTAATTCATAGGTTCGATCGCCTTTGCATCTTATAATAGAGCATCCGTCTGCAAAGTTTTGAACATTAAAAAAAGGTGCAATATTTAATTTACCATAAAAAAATGAAGTTGATGAAGAAAAATTAGAAAAAAAAAGATATAGAGATTTTGAATTTCCTTACATAGTTGAATTAGCGATATATTAGGCGATGATTTTTGCTTATGATTGCTCTTCTCTCTCTCTCTTTGGTGGCTACAAAAAAAATAACACAATCTTACAATTATACAAAAAACCAAAATCACATAAATTGAGAAACCAAATAACAGAATTGTAAAAGTAATCAATTCAAATTTCAAATTTCAAAATGGCTCCACCTTAATAGAGATTTGCCTGCTAAAGCATTTACCTTAGAAAAAAGAAAATTTTCTTCAGGCAAAAGAGAGGTTAAAACTTAAAAGAGGAAAATTAATTAATTCATAGGTTCGATCGCCTTTGCATCTTATAATAGAGCATCCGTCTGCAAAGTTTTGAACATTAAAAAAAGGTGCAATATTTAATTTACCATAAAAAAATAAAGTTGATGAAGAAAAATTAGGGAAAAAAAAGATAGAGAGATTTTGAATTTCCTTACAAAGTTGAATTAGCGATATATTAGGCGATGATTTCTGCTTATGATTGCTTCTCTCTCTCTCTTTGGTGTCGTCATGTTTAATTAAAAGTTCAAACAATAAATTATGCGCAAAAGTTGAGAAATTATCAGACGCACTCCTCAACTTTTATTGTGTTAGACTCTGTACACTCTATTTTGTCTATTCACGTAATACCCCATGTATTTTTATCAGGTGTTGCTTTAAATCCTGTCGCTTTTTAAAAGTTAGAAACGAAAAGAAAAATTAGTCGTTTATCGCTTAATCATTTAAAATTAAAATAAACTCATTTATTATTATTGCAGATAGCATTGATCTATTAAAAAATAAGAGCAAAATAGAACAATATACTAAAGGAGACAAGATGTATATGAGGAGAATGTAGAAGTTATCTTATTCAAGTATGTTTCTTCTGTATACTTCGTAGGATAAAGAATACCTTATTTATAGGATATAAGATACATGAAAAGTTACGAGAATACACCTAAAGGTTACAAATATTAAGTGATGAATTAACTAAGTGCATGAACTCAAATGGTTCATGGAATAGGGATGTCTAAGAGTATTCAATGGACATCCACTTTAACATATTCATAATACTCCCCCTTGGATGTCCATCTAAAGGATAATGTGCCTCGTTAAAACCTTACTAGAAAAATCCAGTGGGAAAAAGCCTAGTGAAGGAAAAAGAGTACACATATCTTGTAATACGCATTGAGTTCTGCCTCATTAAAAACCTTATCAGGAAAACCTAATTGGGACAAAACCTTGGTTAAGGAAAAAAGAGTACAACGCGTATTATACTCCCCCTGATAAAAACTTTATTTGATATCTCGGAGACGGCGCATTCCAATCTTATGTCTCGGCTTCTCAAATGTTGATGTTGGCAATGCCTTAGTGAATAAATCTGCTAGATTGTCACTTGAACGGATTTGTTGAACATCTATCTCACCATCTTGCTGAAGATCGTGTGTGAGAAAGAATTTTGGTGAAATGTGCTTTGTTCTGTCTCCTTTGATATATCCTCCTTCAAGTTGAGCTATGCAAGCAGCATTGTCTTCATACAATATCGTTGGAATCTTCATTTTTAAAGA